TGTAGTTAAAGTTGCCACAGAATTTTTTAGAGACCTCTACAGTTATAAAAATAACCTGCTTGCAATGCAGATACCAGTGGATATAACTAAGACGACAGTATCAGTAAAACCCTTTGATGAGCTAGAAATCTTGAGACAAATAGAAAAGCTTAAATCAGAGAAAAGTCCTGGGCCGGATAATATTCCTAACGAAACTTTTAAGTTAGGAAAATCGATTCTCATACGCCCACTCACCACACTTTACAATAAAGTACTTCAAACACAAAAGACACCTCGAAAGTGGGCAGAATCGAGAATCATACTATTATACAAGAAGGGAGATCCAACTGATGTCAATAACTATCGGCCAATTAGCTTACTCCCAAGCATTTATAAGTTATTTGCGATGTGCTTAGATAAAAGGATTGAGCCGTATATAGAAAAAAATCAACCTATAGAACAAGCGGGATTTCGAAAAGGATACTGTACAACCGATCACATCCATACCTTAGAACAAATAATAGAGAAGCATCAAGAACTCAAGCAACCACTCTATCTAGCATTCATTGACTATATGAAAGCTTTCGACTCTATATCACACGAAAGCATATGGCAAGCTTTATATAGTCAAGAACTCCCAGAAACTTACATAAATATTCTGAAACATATTTATAGCAATAGTGAAAGCAGAGTAAAACTGGATAGAATAGGTTCAAAAATCAAAATATGTAGAGGTGTTAAGCAGGGGGATCCTCTATCACCCAAGATATTCATCTCTGTTTTACAAAATATAATGAAAGACCTGAGTTGGAAACAAAAAGGAATTTACATCAACGGACATTTTCTAAGCAACCTTAGATTTGCTGATGACATAGTGCTCTTCTCCAAAACAGCAAGTCAATTAGGAGAAATGATAAAAGAGTTATGCACGGTCAGTGAAAGCATAGGTTTAAAACTAAACACCTCAAAAACAAAAATGATGACAAACAGCACTCAGAACCCTGTAATAATAAATGGAGCCTTGCTAGAATATGTAGGGACTTACTTATACTTAGGCAAACAAATATCTTTTAGGAAATCCAGGCACACAGAAGAGGTTGAAAGGAGAATAAATATCACATGGAAAAAATTTTGGAGTCTAAAATAAATATTAAAATCTAAGCTACCGCTAAAGCTAAAGAAAAAAGTAATGGACTCTTGTTTACTATCCTGCCTATCCTATGGTTCTCAAACCTGGATATTCAACAAAACGACAAGAACAAAAATACAAACGAGTCAAAGAGCAATGGAGAGAAGCATGTTAACCATCCAGCTGAAAGATAGGCAAAGAAATGAACATATTCGTAAGAAAACAAATGTTGTAGATGCCCTTGAACATACCCAGCGCTTGAAATGGAAATGGGCAGGTCATGTTGCACGCTTATTAGATAATAGGTGGACTCAAAGAGTTACGGCATGGTCAGGACCGACCGGAATAAGACCAAGAGGTCGCCCAGTTGAACGCTGGGCCGATGAAATACAAAAAATTGCAGGGAATAATTGGCTAAACAAGGCCAAAAACCGAAAAATCTGGCATAAACTGGAGGAGGCCTATACCCGAAAAGGGGCCTTAACAACATAAATAAATAAAACAAAAATCTGTCATTTTGTGAATGTAAATATGGATTTGTTAAGGAAATAAAAATGGCTTATTATTATTATTATTATTAAATGTCCGCCGCGCTGCCCCAATGCTTGTTGGCGAACTTCACATGTCTTCGAGATATATTTTTTTTATTTCTCAGACATGCAGGTTTCCTCAGGATGTTTTCCTTCACCGCCGAGCACGTGGTAAATCGGCACTTAAAATTGCAATTAACAATTTCATTGGTGCCGGCGGGGATCGATCCCGAGTTTCTCACGTACTGTGAGACTTACAGCGAGCGCTAACCATCTGAGCTACCACGGCGCTACCGGAATAAACTTGTGTCTGATGTCGATTCTTTGCTGAACAAAGTCTCGGATTGAGGGCGGCTAAATCTAGTCTAGTTAAATCCCCAGAAGACACAAATTTGCACGTATACCGCTAAAAAGAACCCCTTTGTCGTATCTCCTCAGTTTTAAGGCACTCCCCTTGCTGCCTTAGCTAGCATCGGAATCCTCGGCGTCGATATATCGAATAGTGTGCAGTTTTGGGTTCACTTGGAAGGGAATGCCAAATTGGCCTATAAAAAGCTTGGCGTGCTCAGCAGAGTATTAGTATTTCATGTCGGCACATCGCTTGCAACTTTACAAAGCGCAAATTCGGCCTCTCATTTCTCGGCCGGGGCACGCCAGTGTCAGCTCCTTCTACTTGACCGCATCCAGCGCAGAGCGGTTCGAGTCGTCGACGTTCGAATTCTTTCTGATCGGCTCGATTGACTGGCACTGCGTAGGGATGTTGCATCCCTTTTGCAGTTTCTATCGAATTTACCACGGGGAGTGCTCTGAGGAATTGTTTGGTTTAATTCCAGCCGCCAAATTACACGAACGCATATCGCGTCAAAATTCACGATACCATCCTCACCATCTGGATGTTTGACGGGCCACTACTGTGTGTTTTACTAGGAGTTTTCTTCCTCGTACAACTTCTCTGTGGAATTGTTAACCACCGGCGATTTTTCCGGACCGATACGACTTAGGGACCTTCAAGAAAAGAGCTCACTCCTTTCTTAAAGGCTGGCAACGCACCTGCAATTCCCCTGGTGTTGCGGTTGTTCATGGGTGGCAGTAGTCATTTACCATCACGTGACCCGCATGCTCGTTTGCCCCCTTTTCTATAAGAAAACGTACGAAGAGAAAACCCAAAAACCTAAGTGCTTGATTGAGGGCTGAATACGACTATTAGGGTGGTTTCTAGAACACTCATTATACCCAAATTAATCCAATAACGGTACTTGGCACGACCTGGGACACGATTTAAACCCAGGACCAAATCATGATTCACAGTCGCGCTAGTAACCACATACAGACAGACAAAATTATATACTTTCATGATATGTATTTAGTAAAAATCTGTTATTTTGACGTTACGTACAGACACTTCAATTTTATTTATTTATTTTATTTATTTAATATATTCAATTTTATTTATTTGAATATTTTTGTATTCTTAAAGTATGAAAGTTTGTAAAAAATTCGAAAGTGATTACTATATTAATATGATCTTGAGACGTCAGAAAACTTGGCTGCACTTTTAATAATTCTCTTTTATAATTCAATACATGATCGTAGATAACAGTGTGATTTACACTGATGATCTAGTTAATTGGGAGTTATTAATAATTACTTTAAATAAAAGACAGGATTTTTTAGTGTATGTATTTGGTTACAGTCGACAGCAAAGTATAGACAGCAGCCGAATTTAATCAAAATGATTTGTTAGATTCAAATTATTTTTTTTTATTAATTTCAGTATCAGTTAATTTAGTTTCGTCTATGTGGTTGCACTTTATTTAGAAAAGCTAATATTTTTAGTACCATCTTGTACGTACATCTTGTACGTACACACCATGATAAGATTTGCTCCAATTCCTCATTAATAAGATGTGAAAAATAGTAATTTCTTTTGTTAGAATTCTCTGAACATAACAAACAATTTTTTATCGTATTTAGACATGTCTTCTAGTTAAACTTTACACCTCAGAAGTGGTCATTATTAATTTTGCAAAGACGGAGATAGAGGTTGGTCGTAATTACGAGCTTCTGAATTTAAAAAAAAAATCTGGTAATCTGCCTCACTTTAGTCTTAAATAGAACAAAACACTATAACATATAATTTCATAAACTTTTAAAATTATCGTGTTCTGTTAAGAAAGTTCATCATTTATTGCGATATATTACTAAAACTAATGACATTTAAATAAAGATGCATAGCGTAATTTTAATAGAAAATGTTAAATATAATTAAATTCAATTTAAATATATAAGGTCAAATTAAACTTGATATCGAAACTTAATTTTAAAATGGAGATAACGCATAATTAATTGAAACAGAACTTACATCTCTTATTTATAATACGATTGTTGCTGAAAGATGAAAAAATATGAGGGAGTACGTCACAAGCTAGTCGCGTTGATGCAATGAATATATCGTGCATGTGTCTAAAAACCTTGGGAATTAAACAGGGGCGGCCGTACAAAGATGGGTGCAAGCGGGGTAAGGGAGAAGGGGACGTTACAAAACTTGGTTTTAATCGGTTAATTCTTACTACTTTAACCGAAATTTGTGAAAACCGGTATTCCGCAAAAACCCGTTTTGGGGTCATTGACCGAAACCGGTTTAGAATTTCAACCGGTTTCCGAGCCCTGGATTAAATGATCTCAATAAGTCTTAGATTGATGACTAAAATATGAAATTGGTATTTGAGTTTTGATACCTTTTATATTTTTTATCTAGATTAAAAGGAGACAATTTTTATTTCTAATATAAACGATAATAATAACTAATTAATAATAATAGATAGTGCCCTGCGTAATTACCTAACATTTTACTATGTGTGCAATGGAATGTTAATAATAGTTAGTAACTATTTCAAATAGTAATGATCGAATTTTCATTTACTGTTTTTAACCTAACATCACAATATTTATACCATATATCAAAAAATTATATTCTGTTAAATAAATAACACATTTTACCACGTGCTAGACCATGAAGGAAAACATCGTAAGGAAACATGCATGTCAGATATGAGAAAAAAAATATATTTCCAAGACAAGTGAAGTTTGTCACGCATGGCTGATGCTTCCTTGCTCTAAAACCCTCTCAGAAATGAGAGGAGGCCTGTGCCCAGCAGTGGGATGTATGTAGTGTGTAACTTCAACTTTGAACTTAAATAACACATGCTTTTTAATTTTTAACTGAGAGAAAGATGTTGTTATATGTTATGTCTATTACTGCTACACAACATAATACAAGTAATAATATGGTATAATTAAAAATACATTTATTTTTAATTTAAAATTTATATTTATTTTAAAAATATATTTTAAGTACTAACCCAATGTGGTAAATATACTTTTCCTTCATCTGCAACAAATTCTAAAACACCACAGTGTGTAATCCTTTTAGTCTTCTTGTTTGTCAATTTAAAGATCATGGGATACTCAATGCTTAATCTGGTGAGTTGCTCTAGCGCTGATGGAGGCATTATAACTGAAAGGAATTGGTAACATGAACTTTTACATTATTAAAAAAGAAAAATGTATTATTTTACAATTTTTTCCTCTCTTAGTTCATGTATTTTTGTTAACAATAAGGAAATTGATTATTTTCTCATTTTCAACTCTCCAATTTGAATTTATTATAATAGGCTTAATATGTGTAATTCCAAATACGAAAGTTTATCACAATGTTTTTCGGTCCCTAAGAGTCCAATTATAGTGAGAGAAGGATGTGTGTATAAGAGTGTGTGCTTGTTTTACCTCCTATATATTTCAAAAAGAAATATATATCTACCTACCCAAGTAAGTTTCATAAAATTTGTTTCAGCATCATCATTTATAACAAAAGGCTACAAACATTATCCAATGAGGAATGCAAAATGTGGAGAGACAAAACTGCATCCACACCCATTTTATTTAAGAATTAGATTAAATTAAGCCTAGATGTAACTAAATAAATTCATAACCAAAGCAATCAATTTTTAAAACAAATCAATTTAATATTGTGATACTTTGTAATCAATTAAATTATCAATGTTAACATCTATCTCAAAACTTTTCTTTTTTGTTTTTCTAGTTTTTTTTGCTACACAAATTTAGTCCATTATTGACTTGTCATTTTTGCTTATGAGTTTTGTAGTTCAGTTTAAATTTTTGTAATATAGATAGATTTACAATAATTGAATATATAATTTTATTGTAAATCTATCTATATTACATATAAATAGAGTTTGTGTTCAGAAACGTTTCAAGCCTTCACAGCTCAATGGCAGCATACCAGCTGACACAATGCCTACTGTTTTATTTTATGGGATGGTAATTTTCACTAATGTGCTTAATACAGTTTATAAATTACACAGATTATTCTTATTTACAAATAACTTTATAGTTATTTGTCAAAGTGTCACATTTTCCAATTTTCTGTTAGCACTTTCATACAAAGTTACTGATCATGAACAAATACTATTAATATAATATTATTAGAATAGAATATTGCTTGACAATAGAATACAGCTTTCCGAAAGTTAAATATGTAATTTCTATTTATTTGGTGAAAATATTTAATGAAATTATTAATTGGTTCTGTCCTGTTATAAGAAAATCCAACACTCCATATTACCACATGGATAGTAAAAGAGAAGAAAAAGAGACAATATAAGCAAACGAAGCAGAGAATGGGCAGCAACATCTTCCTGATAACAACTCCAAATAATAAAAAACTGTGATTGCCAACCTGCCTGCTAAGTATGGCAACTATCCTCCCGATTAGGCAACTTATGTTAAATTGTGGACTTTTTTTAACAAATTTGAATAATCAGTCTCTATTTCATGACCAATTCAACAGATAATTGTGTGAAATTTAAAATTCTATTCAAAGAGAGGAAAACACTTTTTTTAAATAATTAATCTTACTTTTTCCTCCTCTTTCCACGTCCTGCCTCTCATTACCAGGCAACATAGACACAGAAAAGCACCGATAAGTCATATTAAAAGGTCTTGATATTTCATGAAACATGTTGAATCCGAACTGAAACTGAGAACGTGTATACTAAGTGGAAAATGAAACATAATACATTTACAATTTAAAATTATTTTTATGTTTGAAAAGTATACCATTTTGAATAGTTTGATAAAAAGTTTTTAGAACAAAAATAAATTGCAAATCATTTATATTGACTTCAGTAGAACTAGAAAACAAAATCACTGTCAGTGTCAGCTGTCACATGTAGTTGAAGTATGAGTCTCTGTCACTGTCAGACCGACAGTGTTACCAACTCCAAAAAATATTTACCCCTAAATCGGTACGACTTTCCATTGACTCCCGTCGAGTTGGGGGTTGATACGTATTTTTACAGAAAAGTTACACTATTATAAGCACACACACGCAAAGTTACAACATGCGGAAGCGCGTAATTTTTGAGGAAAAAGTTATTGAAAATCAATTATTCTTGCATTGTTTATGTCTAATCCTACAATAAAACTGACGCCATTTTTTATTGTTATTGTCAGTAGGGATGTCGATTCTTTCCGAAAAAGATCGATTTTTTAAATAGATTCGACTTGTAAGCTGATGTATCGATTCCCAAAAAATCGATTTCTAAAATATCTATATTTTTTTTCATGTTTGCATTTATAATGTAAATATAAATCCATTTTATGAGAAAAAAATCCCCTTCATCATAAAATATAGGGGGACTGATTCAGAAGAATTTCTGTATCTATTTTGAGACTGCTACGTCTCCGGCGCTTTAAAACCACTCTAGGGGTAGGACAGACTCGTACCAGGTGGAGTCGGGGTCAATCAATTCGGTTCTTTGACATAAGTTGAACCTAACCTATTTTATTTGTTATCTGCCCTAATTGGTACTGTTAAAATAAAACAAATTTCAATAACCACTTGAGAGTCCAAGCTACGCGGCGACAATAACCTTGAACATCCCGGCCCCGGTCGTTACTGTATTTGTTGAGGATAAATAAATATTGTCTACGGCCCTTTTAGGTTTTTTTATATCTTGTAAGTTGTTGTCATGGTTACGAAAAAATAACAAGAAAAATGTAAGACTAGTTTTTCGTAATAAGTATATTTTTGTTAGAAGATTAAATGTTTCAAGTCTAAGAAATCTTCTTATTTCAATGTGAGGAGCTACATACAACGGTCATACAGAAACTCCCCACATAATGGCGACCGTGAAAGCGGATAGACCTGGACAAACCGAACTCGACGCTATGAGGCGTAAAAGGGCATACACACGTCGAGTATTCATCAGATCAGTGCGAGAGATAGAGGAGTCGAATGATATTGAGCAGATGACTGTCGAATTTCAGTATCTTGTAGAGAAATTGGAAGAGTTAAAATCTTTTGACAGTCAAATAAAAAATATGACGATCGATTCTTGCACGGATGAGCAATTTGATGAAGAATGTGACGAATGCGAATCGTATTTAAGAAAGTATTATGCAGTAAAAGTTAAGATTGAAAAATTACGAAAGGAATGTGATAGAGCAAATACATCTTCAGCGGCTACTGACGGATCTCATCAGAAGAGAAACATAAAGCTACCGAATATCGAGCTCAGAAAATTCGATGACAATCCGAAGACGTGGTTATCTTTCTGGGGACAGTTCAAAAAGATACATGAGGACGAGACTCTTGAACCAGAAGATAAGTTCCAGTATCTCATACAGGCTATGAAGGAGGGGTCCAAAAGCAGAGAGCTCGTAACTAGCTACCCTCCGTCTGGCAAGAATTACCCAAGAGCGCTGAAGCAGCTACAGGGACGATTTGCTCGAGAAGGTATCCTCATCGAGACGTATGTGAGAGAGCTGCTAGGTCTCGTATTATGTCAGGCTAAGGGACAAAATATGGATATAAGATCGCTTTACGACCAGTTGATGACCCATTTGCACGCTTTAGAGTCACTCAAAGTAACAACGGAAAAGTACGGAGCGATGTTGTATCCATTAGTCGAATCAGCTTTACCTGAAAATATTTTAATTGTTTGGAATCGAACTAGAATTGTAAACGATGTTGGTCAATTAACGCAACTTTTAGAGTTCTTAAAACGAGAAGCCGAGGCTGAGGAACACATTAAATTGACGCGCGCTAACTTTAATACTTATAGTTCTTCCAGCAGTGTTGATATGCCGCCGACAGCAGCTTGCATCGTTTCGAAAGAGGAGACAAGTTCCAGTAAAACAGGTAATGACTTTTGCTATTTTTGTTATAATACGTCTCATTCGATTCTTCAATGTAATAAAGGGCTCAAAATGTCTTTAGATGAAAAAAGAGCCGCTGTCAAAGATAAGAGGGGTTGTTTAATTTGTTTACGTAAAGGTCACGTAGCTAAGCACTGCAAGACGTTTTTAAAATGTATGGCCTGCGGTAAACGTCATGTAGTGATATTTTGTCCGGACCTTCATAGGGATAAACAAAAGGAACCAAAAGAAGCGACAGCACTTTTCTCTAGGAAAGGCGGAAATATTTTATTACAGACTTTATTTTTAGAGGTTTCACATGAGGGTAAAAAGAAGAAAATACGTGCTCTGTGTGATACTGGATCGCAAAGGTCGTATATTAGGAAAAACGCAGTAAAAGAGTTAGGCCTTAAGGTAGTAGGTATAGAGAATTTAGGTTATTCACTATTTAGTGGTGTTACTAAGCCAGCAGAAAACCACAGTCTTGTCGAAGTGAATGTAAGTAGTCTAGATTCTTCTTTCTCTACAAAATTCATTGCTCTTGAACTCGACGACAATTGTGGCTATTTTCCCAAAGCAGACGATCCCAAGCTAAGGTCAAAGTTAAAGTCACTGAATATAAGTATTGACGACAGTGACTGTGACCTTAGCGATGTAAATATGTTAATAGGAGCTGATTATTTAAGAGTAATTTGTACGGGCACTATTGTACAATTAGATGGGCCTTTAGTAGCTATTAAGACGAGGCTAGGATGGACATTACAGGGCCCTAACTTTTATAGTGCTGCACAATGCTCAATGACTTTCAATTGTCACGCTCAGAGTAAACTTTCAGATTTGTGGGATTTAGAGATATTAGGGATTTCAGAGCCACATGAACAGATGTGCAAAGATAGGAAAAAAGAAGAGGTAATGAGTCAATTTGAGCAGAATATTAGTTTTAAAGACAATTGTTACCAAGTAGGGTTTTTGTGGAAAGATGGTTACCCCGAAATAGGCAGTAATTACAATGTAGCTTATAAAAGACTTTTAACGACGACTAGGAAGTTAGAGAGGACTGGTCATTTCCTAAGTTATAACGATGTTTTTCAGAATTGGTTAGACGAAGATATTATAGAACATACTGAAAACAATATAGCAGAAGGACACTTTATTCCTCATCACGCAGTCATTAAGATGTCTAGGACTACAACGAAGATACGTCCAGTATTCGACGCATCGTGTAAAGATGCGCAAGGATTGTCTTTGAATAACTGCATCGAATCGGGTACCAATCTTATAGAACTAATCCCTAAATTATTGATGAACTTTAGGAAAGGTACGTACGGCGTCACGTCGGATATAAAGCAAGCCTTTCTGCAAATTTTAGTTTCAGAGAATGATAGAGAGTATTTAAAGTTTCTGTGGTGGGAGAATCCGTTGACCAAAGAGAAGATAGTCACTTTCAGACATAAGAGAGTAGTATTTGGGGTGACTTGTAGTCCGTTTCTCTTGGCGGCTGCGATTAATTATCACTGAGGCAATTTTGAAGGAATGTACGGTCAGACAGTTGAAATTTTGAAACACTCCTTTTATGTTGATAATTGTGTAGCTAGTTTTGATACAAAAGAGGCTTTATTTACTTTTATAGACGAAGCTAAGGAAGTTATGCTAAAGGGGGGTTTTGATTTACGATGTTGGGTTACCGCTCCTATTAGAGTAGATAACACTGACCAGACTCAATCTGTATTAGGAGTGCTATGGAATACTCTTACGGACGAATTACAGTGTAGTTTCCGTCTTAGTAGCACTATACCAGATCGGGTCACGAAGAGAGATCTTTTGTCATTAACTCAGCAGATATTTGACCCTATTGGATTTCTTGCACCTGTTACCCTAGTGCCTAAACTAATAGTACAAAAGGCTTGGATAGATAGTACAGGTTGGGATCAAGCTATCAGCAACGAGTTATTGAAGGAATTTAAGAGTTGGCTAAATCATGTTCATCTGATAAATGATTGCAAGTTGCCGAGACGCTTATCAGAGGAGAGGTTGACGAACTGTAACAAAAGTTTACATTTGTTTTGTGACGCATCTATTAATGCTTATGCAGGTTGTGTCTTTCTTCGGACCGAATGCAAAAGTAAAGTTACGATTAGGCTGGTTATGGCCAAAAGTAGAGTAGCGCCAATTAAAAGATCAATAACTTTACCTAGATTGGAGCTAATGGGAGCGCTTATTGCATCGCGGCTTGCAAATGAGATAAGTAGAACGTTGTTTACCGACGACACCTGCCCGTTATATTGTTGGACAGACTCCGCGGTTGTGTTAGCCTGGATCCAAAGACAGTGTTCTTGGAAGCCGTTTGTGAGCAATAGGGTAAGTGAAATTTGTGCTCACACTAAGAAGGAACATTGGCGGCACGTACCGGGCCACTGCAATCCGGCAGACCTACTGTCACGTGGCTGTAATATGAAGACATTAATGGACAGTCACTGGTGGGATGGCTCTGCTTGGCTATTATCTGACCAAGAACTGTGGTCTCAGTCTAATCACATCGCAGTAGATGAGAACGCTGTTTCCATAGAAGCAAAGAAGGAGGTACTTGTAAATACTAATGTAGATACTGAACATTTTAGCGAGAAGCTTTTATACTTTTCTAAGTATTCAAGAATTGTACGTGTAGTAGCTTGGATATTCCGGTGGAGAAGGCGACGAATGTTTAGTATAGCTTATATAAGCAATGATGAATTCGAAGAAGCTGAGAATATACTTATAAGACTTATTCAGGGTGAACATTATGTAAATAGAACTAAATTGAATAAGAAACTGTGCATACATTTAGATAGTAATAGTATTATGAGAGTAAAGACTAGATTAGGTTTAGGAAATTATGATATATATATAATAGATATATAGATAGATTTTTCGAGTCCCATATTATTACCAGGGAAAAATGTCATTGTGAGGCGACTCGTCGAAGAGAAACATATATACTTAAAGCACATTGGATCA